TTATTATCTAGATTTATGACATCTCAAACACTACGATCAAGTATATACAGATGACAGACCATGGTGTATTGACTGCTGGTTCCTCACAATCAGGTTTGAGTTCCTGATCTCCGGGCATCTAGGTGATTGTATAAGAATAAGTTTAGAAATTAGATTTATAATATTTCAAACACTACAGTCAAGGATATACAGATGACAAACCATATTATATTGATTGCTGGTTCCTTACAATCAGGTTTGAGCTCTCGATATCCAAGCATCTAGGTAATTGTACAAGAACAAGTTGAAACTTAGACAACCTGACTTAGTATTGAGATGACTCAGCTTCCGTCTGAAATAACTAGACTTAAACAATTATACGAGAAGCTGTTGTCAAACCTTGGTGGTCCATTTGGTCAGCTTTGTCACTAGCCTAGTTCCCGTGAAGATCCCTATCCCCTTGCAATTTTTATTATCTAGATAAATTATACTCAAACTAATATTTTTTAAATTAGTAATGAAATTTTGGTTTTTTTTTATTTTAATTTGATTTCTTTTAATTTTTCTTCTGTTTTGTTTATTTTTCTTTTTTTTTAAAATATTACATAAACTACTACGAAATTAGCAATATTACAAAACCCTTTTCTACTCGCACCATGTAGAGGGATGTTATTTTGAGAGGGACTTCTTAGAAGGAACTCACACATAGTTACCATCGCACAAGAGTACTATCATGGGAGCACACTGATCAAGTTGCAGGAGACTAAGGAAAATACATGAAATAACACGTTCTTCACACGGCTTGCTCTCAAGTACTCCAGCAACTAGCTGCTTTTGGGTGCCCAGATTCAGCAATATTAGCTGCACGTACGATTTTTTCCAAGTTACAAGGGACAAGTGATCGACATCGTGCCGCCCAGAAGAGTCCCGAGACTTGAATTTTGGACACTTTAACCGTGTTTTGACGTGGTGTGCTGCCGACCATATACATATGTTTTCTTTTCTTGACGACGCGGGCGGAGGACCGTGTCTCTGCCAATCCAATTACTTTATTTACAAGACTAATTACATTGTCGTCCTAACCTAACTGTGATTACGCCATAATTAAACCATTCCCTGTTCATGATTAAGTGCTATAAATATGCTACTTCATATCATATAAGAACATCACAGTTTCGAACTCGACTAAACTGTTCCACAAGGCATCAAAATTAACTAAATAAAAATGGGTGGTCGTTCGTTTGACCGAGTGGTTGAGGGACTGTCTGCTTGTGGCATTCAGAAGCATTCGGTCATTATAATATGATGCTCACGCTTAATTGTTTGCATGTGCATATAAAGTTCATACGATAAAATTACAAAATATATATACATTGGACGTGAACCTTTTCTGTTTGGAGAGCTTGCTCCTGGCCGTTTTGATACCAATAATTCTTGTTAATTTCTTACTTGTAAACAGATATATATATTCGTCACTTGAGACAAAATAAGCCTATTAAGATTCACTAACTCAAAGCTTATTAGTTATACCCTTCTTTGTTAATTTTATCGATCTCCTAAGATCAGCCAAACTAGTTGCTTTCTCAGTAAGGAATATGTAACTTTCTTGTCTGTTTTTCACAACAGAGATCAAAGTCAACGTATAATGCTGCATTAAATTTAATGTCACTATAGATATAGTTCTTGTGACCTACGGGTGGAGTTTGGATTTCCCAAGTGCGGGTGTCAGAATAAAAAAAACCCTCTCAGGATGCGTGCCCCCCCTCCCAACAAGCAGGCAAAGCGTAGTTTCTCCTGTCAACTTTTCTTTGACAAAGTTGGTTCGCAGAGAAAGTGGGAGAAGGGAGGTAGAGGGGGGATGGTTTTTGAGGTTAGATTGTTTTCGAACAAATTAGTGGGGAACAAAGTTTACGGCAGGAAGATGCCAAACGATAGCTTGAACCTTGCTCATCGGCAAGGAATTGCAGCCCTCAAAGCCATAGGAGCAACTGTAAGTGTGGCCCATCATGTGCATGACATTATTGTTGGCATAACACTTTTGACATACTAGCATGATCTAAAAAACATTTGAAAAAAACAGCATAGATCCTGAGTTGCATTGTTGGAAGTAGTACAACCTGTATAAGATTGCACTACTAGAAATAACACAATCTATGGGCTACACTGTTCAAAACATAGCAATGCAACCTATATATTCTCAAAACAGCGTAACCACAAATTATTATTTTTTAAATATAAAGATTGTGTTATTCGAAACAACGTAACTACTTTTATATATATATATATATTCAAAAAGTTATGCTACTAGAAATAATATAACTTTTTGATTTTTTTTTAAAAAGATTTTTAATGTATATGTATATATATATATATATATATATTCAAAAAGTTATGCTACTAGAAATAATATAACTTTTTGATTTTTTTTTAAAAAGATTTTTAATGTATATGTTGTTGGGAATAATATAGTATCAAAAATTGTAAATGGTTACGCTTTCTCGAACAACGAAGCTTTTTTATATATTTAAGAAAAAAATAGATTACATCATTTTCAATAACACAACTCATTAGCTGTGTCATTTAAAAAAACAAACTATTATGAAATTGTAATAGTTTGTCAAATATCTTTTTAGCATATGTTAGTACAGAAAAAACCTCGTTTTTTTGTCACTGATTGCTACCTTCCGGACGTGCACCTACTCCTTTTTCACGAGCAGCGAATTTCTGAAAATAATTTTTGTCCCATTGTTATTGTGCATGCCTCCCCCCACGCAGCGTGGGAACCTTTTCGGGGTCAAAAGAGACACCATTTATGATTGACATGATGATTTCAGTCTTGTGCGCGAAAAGAAAAGGCTACAAATTAATGATTTCCAATTTGTGTTTTCTTGTGTGTGACAAGAAGTGATTGCAAGCAGTTCAACTGATGTGCACAAGGATGGGAAAAAAAAAAAAAAGGTGTTAAAAAACCTGTGCTCCGTATGCCTGTGATTTGTGGTGTTGTTTGTCTAATCCGGATGCATGGAGTTCTTTGGAAGGTGAAAAGCACAATTCCTGTTTACATCTTAGATAATTAGTTGAAAAAACAAATCTTGTAGTTTGGTTGGAATACGGTAACACCTGTTCAAATCTCACATTTTGCACCTATCGGCACGAGATCCCGTGTAGGCTTGCCAACTCTGTGCACTGCAAGCACCGCAGACATGTTGAAGCATGAGGCAAAAGAAAACGAGTTTTTATGTCTGGTTTAGAGGCTGTCCTGCAGCTGCATGAAATTTCGTTAAAAGTTATCTTTTTGAGATTTTTACATGAAATTCATGCAAATCCCACAATCATTTTTTTTTCTGTCGCTTTTATCTCTATCACTTTAAAGAAATTATAGCTTGCATGTTACCGTTGATATAATTGATAATAATTTACATACTACTTGCAGAGCGCAAGGATTTTGTAAATTAAAAAGTTCTAGCACGTCGCTTTGTTTTTTTTTTTTTTTCAGGAATCAATTCGAGAGCAATGGCTTTTAGAAGAGATAAAAAATCTGAAGATATTACGTTGGCTCTTGTAACAAAACTAGCTAGTCCTTGACGAGAGGATATAACAATAAAACATTGAACAAAAGTTTGAGTGGTGAGTGCCACTGCTATTTTTCAACTTCTAATTTCCGATTTGAAAACTTCCCCGACTGAAGCAGCACCAACGCACCACTCTTTACGCCACCACCAGCACACCACCGACCCAACAAAGCCAACCATCATCACCATCACTATAGTCCACCATCACCTGTCAACAACCCCCTCCCTCATCCACCACCAGTTCCGAACTTGTACAGCACCGCCAGACCCCACACTACTGACCTCACACCCATCCGCAACCACGCTCAAACCAGGAATATTGCCACTAGCACAAAACCCACTTCCAGTGTCCAGTAACCACCACGTAGCACCAAGACAACCCCACTAAACTTGCAACACCAAAACCAAGCCATCCACACCTATGGACCAAGCCCAACTGAAGCGACACCATTAATCGCCAATGACGAAGCTAAAGAAGAGAAAAAAAACAACCTAACTTGAAGAGAAATCGACCTAAATTTAGAGGGGGAACAGAGAGATGAGTTTTGAAGAGAGAAACAATGTTGGGTGTAGTTTGTAAATAAATGAGAAAAAATAAAAAGTTGGATATTTTATATTAAAAGAAACACGTTTTTTAAAGGTTTTTATAAGTGTGCATTTTTATTTTATAATAAATTAAATGAAAATTGTGATTAATAAATTTTGATTCTTTAATGTTATTATATTAATATTTATAATATCAAAAGATGATAATATAATAAATATTGTTTTTCAAACTTGAAAATGCATCAATTTTTTTAAAAATTCATTTTTAATAAAACTTTAAAATGATTTTTTAAAAAAAAACGGGACAAGTTTGAAACCATGCCAATAGAAAACAAATTAAAAGGCTAAATTTGTGCTCACGAGACACCTGGTATCCATGGTGTTATCACTAAGCCCACAGGCCTACTCTTACAACCTCGTATCATATCCAAAACTTTTCCCGCGGTTGAACCCAGAGAGCTCAGCTGAGTCGTTGACGCCGTCCAGAGGAGGTGGGCAAATAACCTCACTTGAATGATCAAATAACAAAATTTCTCCACCGTTGGACGTAACTCCTCCGTAGTAAAACCAAAGTCAAAGAGACAAAAAAAAGAAGTCCCAACTCCCAACACCTCACAGCAACTCTCGGAATCTCCACTCCATCTTGCCACCTTTCAAAGAAAATAGAGCCTCAAGCTCATACTTCTTGAAGTTGATCCTCTTCACCTTCGACATAGAAAAAATTCACTGTCCATCGTGTCTCAAAAACTAAACCTTAAACGACGAGTGTCGGCTCTACAAATGGATACTTTTAAGATCCATTCCCATGAAAACAAAAACTTGGAGTCCAATCATAAGACGCATTGAGAAAGAAATGTTTAAATCATACATGCACCATAAAATCTGGGGAAGGAAAGAGCAAAATGGAGCAAACAACTAAGCGTTAATGGATGATGTGCATACCTCTGAATTCAAACTAGCGGGAAACTGAAAAAAAAATATTCACTTGGCTTCTAGCAAGTGGTAGTAACACAAGTCACTTGCCACATCAGTTTGTTTTAAAACTACGTGTAAAACTCATGTTTGTATAGACTTTCCCTAAAAGAATATAGGACAAAATCTAGGTAAGGTTCTTTCGAGTACACGAAAATCTTTTAGAAAGCTATGGTAAAAATATAAAATTGAAAAATCATATCAATAACTCTCACTCAGTAAAACAAGCCTAGGCTGACTATAGGAATCATTTTTTCCCCATTCTACGTGTTGAGGGCCAAACTTGAATGCAACCACTCATTCACACCAACACATCTACCGTTATACAATGTTATATTGCAAAACCATCTTAGAGACGAAGACCCATCCAACTTATAAAAATTGAATTGATTTTTAACATCATTAATTGCCAATCTCATTACATACACTAAGACATATGCGGGAGGAAAAATAATAGTAGTAAATAGAATGCTTTGGAGAGATTTGTCACGATGGGCACACATCAGGGTCCATCAAGTATGCCCACATCTTGATCATTTAGCGGTTTTATGAGTTGCATGCAACACCAGTACTCCCAGCTATCTAGCGGTCAATAATTTATCAGAAGAATCCCTCGCCTCGTTTCTAATTGAATTTTCACTCTTAGGACCCACTTCAAATGAACCATCAATCGGTAATATTTTTATTCACTGCCAATCTAAGGGTATAATAGCTGTAATGTATATGATATAACATGCAGGCAAACGCAAGCGGGGACAAGCGCCTGGTGTTCTCAAAAGTAAAATAAAAGTATTATAGTAGTTTGAAACATGGCGTTCAACAAGGTAGAACAAGGATAATAGAAAGGTGTTGGAAGTAAGATACAAATAAAAGAGGGACAATAATGAGAAATATCTTATAGCCAATTTATCAACTTATGTCCTGGAAGAAAATCAAAATCCAGTTTCATATCTTAAACAATTCCATTTTCAGAGAATGAACCTTGGCAACCAACAACTAAAATTAAACCAAAAGGTGGATAGAGAAAGAATACATGAAAATTTCAATTATTCTCACTAGTTAGCTAAACCCATACAATAGTCAATGTTCTTCTATTCTGTGCCCATTACAGCGATAATTAGGGAGTTTGATTTTCATAGTCTGTACTGACAGTGCATTGTTATATATAATTTTGATAATAGATATACGGATTCCATTGACCAACTTTTGCAGTTTTCCATTCTCCAAGTTTCCTTGGTCAGAAGAGAGTATGTAAGTTTGAAAACTTCATAAAAATGAAAATAAAAAGGATTCACTTTCTTTCACATTCCTCTGCTAGGGTAATATAAGTTCTAAAGGCAGTTAGCCAGTTACTCATGCACTTCCAATTGACACTACAACAAACTATTATACCCATGTTAGATTTTAAGAAAATCAACGTAATTAATAAGTTCCAGATTCTGCTATAGAAATGCAAAACACAAAGCTAATGCAACAATCAGCATACATCAACTGGTTATTTGATGAAATGATACCAGATGGATTTCAAGATGACCATGATTTACTACTTAACCCACTTTCATCATCAAGAGTTCTTTCCATAAGATAGATATCACAATATTTACTTATTTCCAACAGCACATCCACCACAGATTCCCTGACAGTTACATGATCCTACAAAAGCATATCATCTGGCATCAGTTTCGGCTCCTTCTGACTACACTAACAAAACACAGTAATCAACAAGTCATCTGCACAAGAAAAACATACAATAAACCTTCTGATTTAGTATGACTATCAGTAAAAACAATGGAACCCTTCTGAATTTGTAATTCGGACCACATACTAAACCAGATATAAGGACTTTCTTTTTTATGTAATTGGTAATCATTGGATAAAAAAAATGCAAGAGGTTGCATTTGTCAATCCCCATGTGCTCCCATTCCATAACAACATTTCTAGAATTATATAGCAAATATAACATAATGGCTTTTCATTTACATTGATTTACAGCAAAGTTTCCTGATTCCCATCCACATGCTCTCATTTGGATTCTTTGTTTTTTTTTTTAATTACCACTTACCAGACCAATTTAGTATTTTTTCTGAAGTAATTAGCAACCATAAACCACAAACTCCATAAGAAAAATCCGAAAGCATCATTCCCTAAACCAGGACAATTCTTCAAATTTCTCAATTCTTTTCTTATAATTATAGATCTTCTTCCTTTTCTGTCCTTTCCTTTCCTTTCTTGTTTTTCTTCCTGCAAGCTCCACTACAGAATCCAAAAAATTCTACGAGAAGTGGAATTAAATTTCAACAAAAAATTGCCAGCCTTAACTAATTCATTGGGTAGGTGTTAACATTATTAAACAATAAATTGCCGACCAACATCAACTTATTCAATTCAGTGGAAATTAATTAAGGTAATCGAAGCATGAAAGAAAACCCACACACAAAAAAGAGAAGAAGATATGAATAAAACAAAAGGACATTTAATCTCACCTTTCGACCACCATTTAATTTCGCTTGCACAGTTTATTGCAGCGAGAGCTACACACCAAAAGATAAAGAATAAATCAATAAGGAAAGAAAAGAAAATGTGAAACTGTTGCAAAAGAAAAGAAAAGACCTTCATCACCTTTGAAGAAATGGATAACTGATCCTCCACAGACACAGATCCTAATTCTTGATTATGATGAGTTTTCTTGCTCTCAAGAACCTCCATGTAAAAATTATAGAAAGGGCAAAACTAACCACGGCTCCGAGAGATGCAGCACTCTGTAAAATTTATTTATTATTTTTTGTATTATTCATGAAACGAAATAAAGAAGAAAAGGGAGAAGCAGAAATGGATTGTGGATAGCTGAAGCTTTCTAGGTTTTACCTTATGATTGGATGGATACAAGGAGAACAATGCGTGCGATTTTGAGATTAAGGAGTCTTAAAGAGCTTCTTTACTCCTACTTCTCCAGTTCTCCTTCTCCTTCTGTGAGAACCAGAGATTGTCGACCCTTCCTCCTTTGAAATTCCCAGCACAGCATCACAGCGGCCCGTATGGATCGTCGTGATGATGGGGGAAAAATCAAGTGCGCGTACCCACCCACCAACAACAGCGGGAAGTGTGAAACGTCAGCTCCCGCCGTCTCTCCACCATATTCCTTACTGCTGTTAAGGATAATGAGCATTTCCAATTCAAAATGTTATTTTAAAAAGTTAAATTGATAAAATATTATTTTAAATAGTATAAATATAATTTATCTTGCCATATCTATTTCAATGAAAAAAAATTATTTAAAAAACTATTTATATTAGAGTGAAAAAAATAAGTATTTTATTATTTTTTAATGTTGTTTAATTTATTTATTTTTCACATGTCTATATTTAATTGGTCTATTTTTTTAGAGGTCCCACTTTATTAGTTTTGGCTCTTTAAAGAGATATATAGAAATAGCATTTGTGGGAGAGAAAAGATATTTTAGCATTTTGTTTAACTTTTTCATTGGAGTATGCAAAACAAACAAAAAAAACTAAAATATTAATTTTTTATTTTTAACTATTTATTTGGCTTATCCATTAGAGATGCTCAACACTAATAAAGTTGGTTTTGAGTGCATTTAGTGATGCCCTTCACCCCAGATCAGCATGCCATGTTTTCATTCCTTATATTTAAATAAATAAATTCATGAAATTAAAACCATTTATTTATAGCCACAAAAGATTATATTTAAAAATGGGGAACAGTTCTCATATTTTCTTGATGTCGTGATCCATGTACTGGATTGACTTTAGGGTTTGCTCAATTCAGTATGCGAATTGATTTTTTTTTTTTCAAATAAGTATACGGGTTTCTTTAAACGGGTCATTGAAGCCAGATGTTTCTGTTTTTAATTTTTTATATCATTATTTGATATTTTTTAAAAAACCATGTTTATTATTTTAATAAATTAAGTTGGGTTTTACCATCGTTATTAGAGTACTCAATATATATACTAATAGTTACTTTTTATAAGAGAGGTATAAACACGTAGTATATATAAATAAATTTAGATAAAATACATGGTTTTTTTTTTCTTTTATGTTGTGTACCTGTCTTTCTTGATTTGTGAAAAAAGAATTAATAATTACTTCAAAAATAAAATAAAATTCCTATTTTCTTCAATTTGGATGAAAACATCCCAAGAAAATAGATTAAAAATATCCTATATTTAGATACAAATGACATCAATTAAATTTGTAAAGACAAATTAAGCTAATTTTCCTTTATACTCATATTTTATCTTATAATATTTATTTTACACTTTTTGGACAAAAATACCACCCAACTCCAAGTTAATGTTAAAAAACTTAAAAATGAAAAACTATTTTTCAAAAATCTATGTTTTTCTCCCTTCCCTATTTCTTTTCTTTTCTTTTTTTTTATTTTGAAAATCACATCTTATATAATTTATGTCAATTGTTTTTCCGGTCTCCTCCCTTTCTCTCCATTAGATTACAGTAACAAATGAAAATAAATTTGGATTTGTTTTTTATAGGATTTTTCTAGTCAAACCTCTAAATCCATCAGTGTCAAACGGACTCTCAACGCCACCAAATTCTTAAAGTGAGTGTGGACTGGGTGCGGGTTGGAGAGGTAGCCATCAGTTGACTCGGAGAGGGTTGAGTCGACCATATCCTCCGGTTTTCAATTTCTGCCAAATCCTCTTGTTTGCTGTAGTGGATGGCTGTGATCAATCATTTCAATTAATTCCTTACTATTTCGAAACTGTTGTTTGTTTGCTGTTTTTTTTTTAAAATAAATTCTAGAAAAATAAATTTAAAATAAAATAGATATACCAATAAAAAATTTAAAAATCAAATTTAATATAATCAATAAATAATATGATATTTTTAAATTTTTTATAATTTACAGAAAGTATTTTCTGCTCAAATTTTTCAGGAATACTTTCTTGAAAATCAATTCAATTTTTTTTTTGACTGAAAAATATTTTTCATTAATCAACTTTTCTAATAACAAACAAATATAAAAAAGTTTAAAAAATAATTTTTTAGCCTATATAAAATGTAATTTTTTAAATTATTTGTACAATGAAGAATAAAATCCAAACTAACCCTCAATGTAATCTTATCAAATTCTCTCAACACAAAATCATGAAGTAGAATGGTCACGTTGGCAAGTTAAATGACAAGGGACTATATTAACAAGATCAAAATAGTTGCGGGGCTAACCATTTTAAGCAATTTTTCAAGGACCTTAATAGAGTTTACCCAGGATAAGAAGACTTTCATTAGATAGCAGTAGCACCACTCAAGTCTCATTGAGCTTCCCGAGGATTGCTTCTCAATGTATAAAATAATTACTAAATCGGTTTAAGATATTTTAGATTTATGTTGAAAAAAATAAACTCATTACATTCCCAAAAAACATTATAAGAATATTTTTAGATTTCTTACTTGTATATATATATATATATATATATATTTTTTTAAAGTAAATTCAGAAACTAATTAATAAAACTTTACTAATTACTCGACTTACTCACTCACCGAACAGCATAAAATTACTCGGAGCTATCCTTCTTGGGAAATGGTCTCCCGCCTGTTTCAGCTCTCCTGGTGTTTGCATTGGTAATGTCAATAGAAGAACTGAAAAATAGAAAGGATTAAACATAGCATTGAGAACAATTACTTCGCATCGCGTTAAAGAAAAAGGAAAGATCAACGGGATCAAGCATCATTTATCGATCTAATAGGGTACATGAAGGGTGGCAACAAGATAATATGCTAAGAAGTAGTTATAGTTATAATTTAAGCACCGGATGTTCCACTCCAAGGTTCACTTATCTCGTGAATTTGTACACAGGAAACTTTTTAACTCAAAATTCATCTAAAAAACAGTGATCAAGTTAGAGATTCTCTCCCTGGAGCCAAGGAGCAACGGGCACTTGGTGTTTCTTATTATCCGGTGCCTGGGCAAGATATCTGGTGAGGTAAACATTTCAGGTTCCAAAAATGGGATCTCTACAAATTTCTCCACTGTGGGGACCCATAAATGTGATGACTGTGTACACAAAAGGAAGAATGGCCTCCTACCAGCTGCTTAACATATACAGTAGTAAAATTTCTGTACTTGCACAGACCAGATAAAATCCAAATCGACCTCAAGAATTCTCCATCAGCACCTTGGCTCCTGCTTCTGTTGGATTCCAGAGGGCGAGCCAAACATCATTGACTAGAGATACAAGGGAAACAAAACAAACCAAAATTAAGAAAAACAGTTGATCAAAAGCTTTCTTATCTAACAATGATATTTCACCAGCACAAGCACAGTCATAGGTCTAATGACTGATAAATGTTCCAGGTCAGTCTGCCTAACAGAAGCAGATCAATCCTCTATCAACCACCAAGATTCAAATTGTCTAACAGAATGAGGTGAATACATCGAAGTAATTGGGGCCCTCAGAATACCAGCCCGTGCAAGGATGGAAGTAGTTGAAATAAATGGGAAAAAAAAAGACTGAAAAACACCAAGATAAACAGTGGATACAATAACACATTATGACAGGAAAACATAGTGAAATCAGCATCGCATGTTCAGGCCACAGGTAGCTTAAAAAAAAAGAAGATATTTCGGGGAGGGGACTCATAGGAAGAGGAAAATAAAAACACATACAGGATCTGCTAAAACAACTTAAAGAGGTACGTGTATAGATAAAAAGAACCGCAAAAGGAAGAAAGACCGTGCTAGATCACCACAGTCCTTCCATAAATTTGTTATAAAATCAAGTATCATCAATTTGAAAGGATATTTTAGTTTAAATATAGTTTAAATATGTTCTTTATGTAACTGTATGACAACCGGGGAAAAATATATAGCAACAATCATCCAGGTTCATTAGATCATTTGTCTACATTGGTAATATACAAATGACTTGCTCTTGCAATTTTTTTGGTTTTATATTCGTTGACACATGAATCTTAATGTAACAACACACAAAGACCCCATACTCATCCACAGAAATGTGCAATCAAATCAAATTGAAAATGGATTACCTGAACTGTATTGGGCAATATACTATTTGCAAGATCCTCGTTAATGGACACAGGTAGTGGTGGCATCTGACTCATTCCAGGCATCTCTCTCATACTGCAAAAAACAAAGTAGGATTTCTCACAGCTTAGCAATTCATAGCCAACAATAAATAGCATGGCATTTAATAGCACCAATACAAAAATAAAGTTATTGAGAATCCACGTACTCATTCAGGATGGCAGTGATATTGTTCCTTGTGTGACAAAGGAGGTCAATGTTATCCTGCAACTGTTTATGAAAATGTTAAACTAACAATCCATCCTCAGAAACCACAACTAGTCTTCTGCTACTCTAAACCTTTTAACTCAAGTTCAAAACCAGTATCATAAACTGGCTTCTCAGACCTCTTAAATAAACAAAAGAACAAAAGTTGGGAAATAATATCAAAATCCTAATACCAAGTGGCAAATATTAGCAGCAAGAACTTGATTTGTTGAAAAATCCCACCAATGAACACCCATGGTTATAAATAGTGGAGCAGCAGTTTTGCAAGTCATCACAAGCATTGCTTAACAGCACACTTGCATAGGTCCATCAAATTGCACTGTGGTATTTTTTAGTTTCAGCCATGCTCTGATATTCAGACTTTCCCTTTTGTATCCACCAAAGTTGCAAAAATGCGATTTGTAATGGCTCATGTATCTAACTGCAACCATTCAAAGCAAAACATTCTAGGGCTATACCGTAAACGCATTTCTTCTTTTCACCATGAAGACAAGGCAGGTGCTTAACCGTCCCAGAAATACACAAAGTCATCTTTGCAAAGACCAATTTATATCTATTATGTTCAAGAGCACATTCCATTGAAAGGGAAAAGGACAGCGTTCCTAGAATAAAAAAAGATGGTGTCTTTGATACATTGCATCTGATTTCAACCCATCAATTATTGAAGCATATGGATCAAATTTCAAGAAGATTTAAGAGAAATAGCAGTCACTATATGTCCTTTGCACACAGTGCTGAAAACCTTTGAATGTGCATCCGCTTGCTCTCAGCTAATACTTATTGTTTAAATCAACATTTAAGAAAAAATTTAACAATATTCACCTTGAATATGGAAAGGTTCGCTGAGATCTGACTAAA